CCAGTTCTGGTATTGTCATGAGAGGGGATGTCATCAGTGGTGAACCTTCTGCAGAGCCTTGGGAGTTCCTGTGAAAACAGGGGAAGAAGCAGAGGAAGCCACTTTCTTAGCAGCATCTTCTGTTTGTGTCCAGCAGTTTAAATAAATAATCAACACATGCTTGCAAGCAAGTAATTCTTCAAATTGCATGTTTCTAATGAAAGTAATGCTCAACAGGCATGTAGAATCTTTTCAATTAATGAAAATTGTAGATCCTTAATTTTATTAAATTCTTCATTGTTTTCAGTAGTGCTTTTTACTCTGTAGGTTGAGTTACAAACCCCCTTTGACTGGGGAAATTGCCTTCCTTTAACTTTTCTGCATTTTCAATGCCCTTGACTCATTGGATAGAGTGGAAGAACACAAGATGAGTAGCATCACTTCTGTCCTGATTTTCTGTCTTCAAAAGCCACACAACAGTCTGTGAACCTGCTTGTGTGCTGACAGAAGGGATTGTCCCCAAGAGAAGTTTGGATGCCTTTTCCTCCCCCTTAAATTTTTTTTTTAGCAAGATCCCTAATGTTTAAGTGCCTTCCACACACAGAGTTAGAAGTGAAGGCAGTCTTTGGAATTCTCTTAAAAAAATTCTCTGCTTGCCATGTTTTTATTCCCTATTTTGTTCCATTTCCCTGGAGCAGCTGCACGTGCAGTTCTCCTGGCAAGGCCTCTTGTCAAACCCAGCAGGACAGGCTTTGCTCTGGGATGATGCCCTGGCATCTTCTCTTGTCATGAGGATGTGGCTAAGTGGGGCTTATTTGGGGTGTTTGTTGTCTGGTTCTGAACCAGGTGTTGTGTTTTTAAGGTGTGAAATGTGGAAAAACTGTTTAGATTTTAGATTAGAGCTGCCAGTATGTTTGAGGGCTTGCAGCAGGCTGGGGTTTTTTTGGGGTTGTTTTTTCCTTTTTTTTTTTTTGGTAGTTTGTGATCTTGTTGCTAGGGCATTGTTGAGTCATTTTACTGATATATCTGGATCAGTTTATGTCGTTCTTGTGCTGTGAAATTTAATTCCTTCTGTCATCTATCTTCACATTTTGTTTCCTGGGCAACAGCCCGGCTCCTGGAGCCAGTGCTCTTCTGTTTTTAAGCCCTATCCTTTTACTAAAATGATCCATAAATCAATAAATATTGATCCTGAACTACTGCCATTAGGTTTTAAAGCTGCTCCCAAACTAATTAATAGGAATACAAACCTCTGAGTTATTGCTGCAGAGCACATCAGTCCCACAGCAATTTTACCCTTTTGAGAGCGAGCACAGAGCTATTAAAGGTGTGCCAGAGCATTTTGGGGTATTTTGAGTATTGCCCTGAAATGCTACCTGGTTGTTTTGGAAGATAATTTCACTGAGAACAGGTTATTTGATAGTTCTGGTGCTCTGAGCGAGCAGCATGTTTACAAACCAGGCCCTGGGTTTAGCTCAGTGTGACTGCACAGTTGCCCAGCAACAAGTGCTGGGCTGCCACACTGCTGCCTCCTCCAGCTCCCTTATCGGCTCATTCGTATTCCAGAAAAATACAGGCAAGCCTAAATTCCAGTCTGCTTTATTGAAAGCAGGCTGAGTGAGAAGCCCTGGTGCTTGCCCCTGGCAGGGTTGGGGCAGGAGCACAGCCCTGGCACGTGGCAGGGCCGGCTCACTCCATCCCCAGCTGCAGGTTTGTGTCCCAGCTTCCCAATCCTGCACATGGATATGGAAAAGCCCCCAACCCTGCTCCCACTTCCAGGCTTTTATTAGCATGCTGAAGACTCTGAAGTCTGGGTAGCAAGTCCTTCAGGGTGGGGGCTTGCAATTTGCCCCAAATAACTTCTGGAAAACAATGTTTTCCTGTTGCTCTTCACTGAATGGTCTCGTTGTGGGTGAAGCATTCTGAGTGTTTAAAGTCGGTTCCGTGGAGGTTTTTTTAATGCAATGGAATTTGGCATCCTGTATTGATTCTGCAGCAAAGACACGTGGAGTATTTCATGTCATTTCCTCAAATCAGGCAGTTTAGTCACAGCCCTTGTTCTGGGATCTGTCCTGCCTGCAAGCCAAGCTGCTCCCACTGTGTGGGATGAAGCCATATGAATGGGAGAGCTCTGGGAATACTGAGTTCTGAGCACCATAAGTAGGTTGGGGCTGTGTTACAGTCAGTCAGCACTTAGCAAACACATGGACTGCCCAGAGAGAGAGGCAGGCAGGGACATTCTAGGGATTTGCAAGTTCTAAAGGGTAGGACAGGGAAGGATAGTCCCAATGTTATGATCATATCATCAGCTTATTACTGTACAACATTAGGGATACATCAGTATCAAAATAATATAATTTAACTGTAATTTTCCCCCATGAGACATGAAGAGGGAGCCAAATGTCTGCTTGAAACAGGTTTGTATAATAAAATATTAACTATTCAGTGGTATTACTCTGATTATTTGAAAAGAAGCACTGACACTATTTCAGTTCAATACAAACATAACTTTATTTTTACTTAAATGCCAATGAAATAACTGTACAAATCCATTGTGTAACATTTACTGTTAGAAATTAAAACACATTTCCGGTTATAGAAATACTGTTCACAGTTGGAAAGTTGTGATTTCTCTGATACCAGTAGTTGTAAATGGTTTACAGCCCCCACTGACACCTTAGGAGAAACAGGTAGAGGACTCCAGTCTCAGTTGTGAGGTTTTCTGGGTTTTGTAGCACCTTCATGCTACAATAACTGGAAATTAAATGGCCTGGAATGAATGGAAAACATTGTATAAGATCTGTAGTATTAAGTGAGTAATACTTTTTCAATTAACTTGTTCTTCGGTTTTCATTTCATGCTGTTTGCAAAACTTCATCTGTAGTATATCAGGTACCTTTGCCATAATTTAACTAGTTTTCCTAGAGTGGGCAGAACCATGCGTGCAACTATTTCTACTGGCTGAGGTGCAGATGGCAGGGAGAAGAGCACCCATGCTCGCCCTTGGAAAGCAGGGGTTGGGCAGTTCAGTGCCAGGGACCGAAGTAATTCTCTGTGAAGCCACAAGAGTCAGGATTGTTTCAATGACAGCTCCCCAACTAATTGCTTAATTGATTTGTTACATGACTTGTGTTAGAAGTTGGCTGATATTTCATTTTACTGGTTGTAGTTTGCTACATTCTGGCTGATTTGAGATACTCTTTTAAGCAGAATATATTAACACTCGAGGATGTCACTTGACATAAAGTTAAGGAGTTCCATGTTGTTAATTTGGGTAGATAACTCCCTGGTGTTGGAGCGTGTCATGGCACTGAACATCTGGCATTTTCCTCTACTGTCATCTTTTTTTTTTTCTTTTTTTTTCTTTTTTTTTTTTTTTTGCTATGGAGAGAGCAACAACTTGCCTGCAGTCTCTACGTGGAGGCAGAGCAGAAGGATACTGGCCCCTACCACTTTCCCATGCTGAAGTTGGACCATGTTGCCTTCTCAGTTTACACCCTCTTAGCAGATATCATGGCGTTGTCATATTTAATTCCTAAATTCAAGACTGTTGTTCTTCATATTTAAAATATCCTAGTACATATGAAGCAAACATAGATACACATGCTAGCAATTTTGCTCAGGAATAACTTCTTATTAGTGAAACAGCTCAGTTTAGTTCCTTTATTTTTCCCCTTCCTTTTGCATGTTGTCATAACTTACAGAGCATCTGTGCTGCTATATTACAGGAATTGCTCACTGGCAAGTCAAGCAAGACAATGCAGATATGATACAGGCCTTCTGTTTTTTTCCAGTTGTTCAATGACAAAATCATACATAAAATCAGTACTTAAAATTCTGATGTGTTTATTCTGTGCAAGTAAAATGAAAAATTTAAATACAAAATAAGCACATTTTTAAAAACAAAAGAATAGGTTAGTTGTACTCAATTAAGACATATGAAAATAAGTAGCAGCTTAGTATCAAGACATTAGTGTGCACGTCTTTAAGAACTGTTATTTTCTTTAGACCAGAGTCAGGACTCTGAATTTCTCGTGTTTTGATTCGTTATT